TTGTCTTGATTTCTTGTATGTGTAATATAAAAGCTATTTTTGTGGCAACAATTTTAAAAAAGAGATCTTGGCTTACCGATCTTGATATGTAAGCCATTAAACCATGGGTGGTCGGATTGATTTTGATCATGAGTACATTCTGTTTTGGAAAAATCTAAAGTCTGCAGAAGGCGTGCCATCGAGAGACATAACAAATAAAGGGCAACTAATTTAAGAACTGGAAGGGATCGTGCTAAAACATAGATCATTGAGTTATCTTTTGGCCAAGGTGCAGTGCAGTTGCCATGACAGCACTGTGTGTATGTATTCAGGGTGAGTCGTGCTTCTGTAGAATCATCAAATCTACCACTTTGTTTCCTCAAGTCATATCACAACAGACCTCACGTTGGCACAAACGCTTGCAGAAATGCAGCCGGCAGACATGATGAAGATGATGCCTGGTGAGGGTTGCAGTTGTAATGTGGGCTGGGATTACATCAGCTGCATGCAGGTCAACACAAGTTGGAGGCTAAAGACTGTGAACAAAGTAAGCAGTCTATTAGAGCACTTTCACACCTGTAGTTCTGTTGACTTTGACCTGACTAAGTGAAAAATGCTGAACTGTTGCCTGGACCAGACTGAAAGCATAGAGACCTGACAACAAGGAAAAGTTGAAGCTGGCTACAGCAAAGGCCTGGGAGAGTATCACCAGGGAAAATCTTGTCAATGTTTTGAAATGCTTGCTGGTTTATTAAACAGATTTAGTCCATCAGAGTTGAAGAATGAGATATTATATTTACTACAGTGATCTCAGAAGGCTTACGGTCACAGCAATTAGCATTTTTTTCTGTTCACGTCAACTGTACAGTGGTCTTTTTTTTTTTTTTATAAACGCTATTAAAATTGTATTAAGGCTTAAAGTTATACAGAATTACAGGCATAAGTGACATACGGACAGTACCACAGTAATCTCTTTGTTCATATTTGGATTGCCGATGAGTTAGGCGAGGTTACCGCCAAGATATCGACGGCCATCACGCTGAGTTTCAAATTCAGGAAACTTAAAGGTGACGTCACAGAGGATAAAGCCATTTTCATATAAATGCTTGGGGAGTCATAGAAGATGGACACTGAATGGTGCTACATACGTAAGATGAAAAAAAGTTAGCTGTTTTCTGTTAGTTGTAGAACAAAAGACGTAATTAGATTAGTGATACCATCTGTAAAACAAGTGAATTATCAGCAGGAACACAGTTTCTAAATGCATTTTTAAATAGACTAAAGAGCAATAAACTCTCTTGCCAACTCTCATGCTTTTGGCACAAGACATGTATTTTTGGTCTATGTGTGTGCAAATAAACAACAACATTGGTCAATAAACATCACAGGCAGCGCAACAGACAAAGTTGTCGTACCGAGTTTTGCCTTATTTACTTTGCTTTATAATATTACTTTTATTGCAAACTGAAATGTCTCTAAAAATGCAATTTTACTGCGATGAAGTGTCTGTAACAGGACAATCAACTGTATGTATAAAATCCAGGCTTTGAAACATTTGTCAGACAGCAGCAGGATCTTTATGAGTGAGAGTCGCGCATTTTTACACATGTGGAACATCAGTGGTAACTTCACTAATTACGCTACTTAAAAATTGGCCCTGACATGTAGGCAGGATTGAACAGGATTAAATCACACTGTGTACTTTTCTGCACATCAGACAGTTAAGCTATCACAGTTTACAAGACGCAGTTACATCATTTGTCACAAAGCGGCACCTCAGGTTGAGCCTTGAGCTATGTCATATTTTCAAAAATATTTTTCTGTCATGTCAAGCGTTTTATTGCGGATATTTTTCCTTTTCATTGGCAGTGACGTTACTGTACTACATATAGAATGTGACGTGTCTGATCAAAGTAACTGCCAGCATTGTAGGAGGTAGGCTAGTTGCAATTAATGCACATTTTATTATACCATAAATTAGGTAAATTATGATTACACATGCAAATTTAATGCTTACAAAATAAATAAATAAACAAATAAAAACAACTAAAAAGAATTTGTCAGCTACACAATCAGCAGATTTGGACAATCTGTTGTTAATTGTTCACTGTATGTTTGTATATTGCAACTTTGTGAACATTTTCTCTTCAGATGCACCACATTATCTCTTCTGTTGGCTTATTTTAAGGGTAAACTCAGCCAAATTATTATTCGACTAAAATACTTAATGTATTAGAATAAGTGCATTGTTAATTATATCATAAAATCTCCTATATTTTTCAACAGGTATTAAGTACTTGTATTGGAATGCATTGTTCAAGCAGCCCTCCCATCTTTGCTTATATAAAGTCAAGGGCAAACACACCAGAGTTTGACTGAACTGAGCAGGTCAGGTGTGAAGGAACTCTTAGTTGTGTAAACTCTACATGCTGTGAAGGAACTCTCACAAGAAAATGCACGTCCAAATGCACTGATGAATTAATTTCACAAGCAGAGGACAGAGATTTATCTCCTTAACACTCACCTGTCAAAAAAAGACCAAATAAAAATCCACTGCCACTATTTTGAATGCTAGAGTCCAACAAAGGAAAATAATCCAGGGCCTTCACCAAAAAAAGTGTGTTAAGAGCGTAAAGAAATACAAATATTACATTTTCCCCCAACATTTCTACACTAAATAAAGAGCAGAAAGGAAAGAGCAACAATACTGCTGGTCTTTCTCAACGCAAATTCATTCAGTCAAAACAGCAGTAGACCTCTTGGATTCTGAATTAGGCAGAATGGGGAAGGGTTAAGATAAATAACATAACAACATAAAAATCCATTGTCACCTGTGTGCTTCCCCGTTTCTCCAAAATACAGGCCAGGACAAGTCTTGAAAATTCATGCTCACCTTTGGCAGAGATAAGGCTCTACTGAAGGTGTGAACATAATTACTAGTTGATTTATTGAGGACCTTTTCACCAACATCCCTTTGTGAAACCTGTAGCAAAGAGCTATGCAGCCTTTGCTAAACAGAAATCAAAAATAGTTATACATTCATCCAATATGAGCAACATGATGCCAAAATTAGGTATTGTTACCATGACAGAAATGCTATTTTTCTGGTTGAGCTAATTAACCAACTAAATTACAACATACAGCACCTGATGTATTAATGTGGTGGTCATGTGACACTGTAGCTGGAGTTTGTGCTGTGAGTAAACTGTTTTATGGTATTCTGACAGCTGTTTCAATTAGTTTGTTTTGCTGATTTTTTTTTTACTGTTGATAAGGTAAATCACACGAACACTTTTATTGCACAGTGCTGCAGAGTTTCTGCTAGTTTACACTGCATTAGTTTTAGCTATGTGTCTCTAATAAACTGGCCACTTAGTGTACAGCATAACTGCAATCCATTTAAAGAAAGCCATTTGTATGACACAAGAATGACTCCATTCTGCCTTATATATTTTATGAACAGTCAAAAAGACTTACATCCCAGGGAGTATTATCCCATAACACATAATAAAACATTTTTAAACTGACTTACAAGGTCAAGCGACACAATGCCTCATAGTACTACATACGTTTTCACTATACTTCACAGACCATGCACTATCTTTTACTGCAAAGCCCTGTTTTACATTCCTACAGTCAGCTTCATGCATTCATGCCTTTGTCCAGTCCTCTAACTGCTGTCAACTGAGCATTTCCACCAGAGCAACTGGACATGAAGAACTTTAGCAATTTCTTAAACAGATTGAGGGAAGTCTTATTATCATATTTTCATTTTTCACTCCTCTTGCACCCAGATTTTTTTTAACTTGACCAAAAGCATACTTCTGGCGGCTGTTAAATTGGTTAAAATGATCTGTTTAAAATCTAATTGCGATTATGAATAGATAAAATGCATAGTTGCAGGGCTTCGGGTGTAATACTGGGCACTTTGCCAATACTTTAACAGCTATTCTGGGTGTTGTAAACTTGATTATTACAGGAAACACATTACTCGTACATTTGGTACTCTAACATTTGACAGCGTAACTGAAACAATATAAATACAACATGTTTGTCTAAGAGTTCAACGTAGAGGTCATTGGCCAAGATAACATCAACCTTCTTTTTATCCATACGTCTTAATCACAGTTTGGTCATTTGGAGTTATATTTTAATTTGATAATAAACATTGTAATGAAATTTGACATTCATTTGCAGTAGATTAATAAATTATGAAGCCTTTTGCACTTTTGATGCTTCTCAGTGTCTTAAATCTCTGTGAAAATCCACAGCGGCTCACAAAAACTACAATGCATGGTAATTGTTAAACAGGTCCGTCTTTAAAATGCTTGGAAGTCTCTACTAGTGGGTGTAAGTAGCAGTAGAATTATTAAACAGGTCGTCCCGAGGTGCACAACTTCAGCACAAAGCACAGGTTCCCTTCTTAAGTTCATGAGGTAGGCATGCAAGTGCATGCAGTTGCCATAACAACACAGCGCTAATTTAAACATAGTTAGCTCTTTGCAGCTATTTTAAATCGTAGATGGCTACCTCAGGCTGAAACAGAGCCATCTAAAAGAGATTTTTAGATTTATTTCAGCTGTTAACAACTTGACTGCCTTAAAGCATGCATGGCCACTCTCATACCCCCTAAATAATTAGTTTCTGCAAAACTGCTGAAAGAAAAGATATGTAAATGCGCTTTGTGCACATAAATCTCCTAATGCAGCCAGAAATAAACCTTTGAAAAAAAGTTATGTCAATTTACCAAACCCTAAAATGTACAACCACTGTCAAAGAAACGGGGCTGTAATAAATCAGAATTAAGATTCACACAAACTAAGTATTAGTCACGCCATTTGCGGATTGTGGACTCGATTATAGTCTCTATCTGCATGTTTCTGGTTTGACGGTCTACATGTGGGGTGCACTGGGTTGACATGAACTGTCCCACAGTCCCTCCCACTGGGTCTGGCATTCAGGTACAGCTCCCTCCCTCCCTCTATAAAGCCTCTCATGTTAGCAGTGTAAACTTCAGACTTCAACTCATGGTAAAGTCTTTACAGCTTTGGAAAAAAAATTGTTAAACGGTACACAACACACTTGGATATACACCACAAGTTCTATACATCAGGTTACAAGCTAGAGCCTGAGGTAAGTGAGATTTTCATAATTTTAAGATTCTTCTTAAGAATATAGAGTTATTCAGTATTAAGTAAAGAACACAAATTTATGTTCTGTTAAATTTGGGAGTATAATCTGAAAAACTAGCAGTAAATATTTTTATTAGAATTTATTGATGTTGTGTGTATTGATGCATGGGTGTTTGTTTAATAGCTTGCCTACAGCACTAGTAATACTGATTTGCAATTAACAAACCAATACATTATGTTCTTAACCAGCTATGCAGCTGCAAAAACTGTTCAGATGCCAGCTCAATGTCTTAAACTGATTAGGCAACAGTTGAGACAACAGAGTAGACCGTGCCACCTCAATATAATTTTTTATATCTTCATCACTGACAGCTCCCGGCCAAAATGAGATTATCGCTGCACACTGTCATCTGCTGCTGTGTTTTTACCACGGTCTTGCCACTGGTGAAAGGTGCCACAGGAGAACCCAGCACCAGCCTGAAAAAAAGGTGAGCTGCCTAATAAACAAGCACTCTGAGAACACTGTGTTCATTCTACACAAACAAACCAAAAAAACCCAAACCCTTTTTTTTTGTTCTGTAGCACTCAAATAGAAACACATGACAAGTTATATCTGTTCGTAAATTAATACAAATGGACAGAATATTCCAGCAATCCCACAGGATTATGAACGCCAATACTGATATTTGAAAGTTTCGAAACATGGAAATCATTGTGTCCAATGCCTGAACTTACAAAAATCATGATGAGGATCTCCAGTTTTTGTTTTTTTTTACTACAGAACAGTGATCAGCATGTGTTGTAAACAGGGTATTTTTAACTGACAAACTTGGCAGCATTCTGTGGTTACTGCTATTTTTCAGTCCTCCCTAGATACATATGTGCTGACACTGCCGATACGTCAACCTGGCAGATTTATCAGTCAGCCAATTTTTGGTAGTTAAAAATTATGTTATGTTTTCTAGAACAGACATGGTAGGCAATTCAAGAAAATTCTTGAAACATTTTGAAAGAAACTGTGAGACACTGTAGTCACATTAAATCCTTTCATCTGATGCCAGTGATTGTGGAGTGATGTCGGTTCCTGCAATCACAACCCTTTTCTATTCTTTGCGGCAGGTTTAGAGTGTGGTTGCAGAGCCACATGAAGAGAGACCTGCGCAACAGCTTAGTGACAGCCAATGAGCAAGACTCAGACATCCATGTTGGACCACGGCAGGACAGACATGCAAAAGCTCTCTCTCCTCCATCAAGGTAAAAAGAAAAATTGCATTTTTAACCTTACTCAATGGGTGACATTGCAGAGAACAACAAGAAAGTTGGGAAGAGAAAAATAAGATGAAATTGTGACAAAACAAGCAAACCAGGGGCAAAGCAGTCATATCATGTGCTCCTTAATCGCTTGTCTATTCCCAAAGTGCTTCATTACATACAAGTGCATGTTGCCTGACATTCGAGGAGTTAAAACTCAAAATTAAATGTCCACTATGTGAGACAACAGATATTTTTGAGAAGATATATGATGCATCCTCTTCCTTCTTCCTATATCAATAAAGTTAAACAAATCCAGATGAAGAAACACTTTGAATTAACATATTACGTGTTGCTAAGTCAGATTTAAACAACATTGTAAAATAAAAAAATTAAAAAAAAGAATAAAAAAAGAAAAAGAATAAATCATAAATCTTTCCTTTTTCCAGCTTTGGGGTAAATATACGACCCAAAAGATCATCTGGCTGCCTCCTCGTCACATGTTTATACCATGACCTGGTCGACCAACTGAACAAGATGACTGACAAGCGAAAAGAGACCAAAGCGCCTGAGAAAAAGATAGGCTCGAAGGGCTACGGACGCCGCCGGCGCTCACTCTTGGATGCCGCTCAGCTTGCCTTCCAGACAGGAAGACAAAGACAGAGCACTAAAGCTGGTCGGCGAATCAGCAGAAACAAAAGCACAAGCACAGTGGCCTAAGACAGGCATGGAAAGACAAAAGGAGAATCTTCGTTAGCGTTATTTGCTCATGGCAGATGAAGATAAGTCCCCAGTTTTACAACTACATATAATAAAAGAAGGGCTACTACATCTGTACGGCCCTTCAGAGGAAGCTCAGGTCACTCTGGATGAAATCAAGATTCAAATAATACACACTGAGACTCTTGCTTGCACATGCTTAACTGCAGGTTTCAGTGTATCTTGAACAAGTGTGATTTATGAATGAATTCAAGTCAGACCTGTGAGACTTGACGAGAATGTCTGCCTCTTCTTCAGCTTCCAAAGTGAGCTTGGCAGCTGAGACAGAAGACGGTTCCTGAGGACCTTCTCTGAAATATCCATGTACTGAGCAGGAACCAGTTCTGCAACAGGGGAGCCTTTTCTCTTCTCAAGAAACTGACAGTACTCGATCCCCAAACTGTTGAATACAGGATCCTCTCACAAGTGAACCCAATGTGGTGAACTGCTTGATAGGTGCAATTTATACAATATGTGCTAGCTTATGCATAGTTAAAACTATATCACTGTCAGCTTATATGTAAAAATATATAGGGATACCTTATATTTAAGCACAAGGTATATGTATAATTTTATACAACAAAAATATACACAAAACATCTCTTTTCGTATTTTAACTTAAGTGAAGTATTTGAACTGTGCAAAAAACAAGTGTTGTCCTGTATTCTTTATGTGCATTAAGTATCTAATCACTGAGTTACACTAATTGCCTTGACATTATTGTATTGATTAAACATGTATGTATGTACTGGAACCTAATACTAGAGATGTGTTACATACATGTGTTTGGACAGAGAAAGCCATGCCACCTAATAACAAAGGGTTCATCTGGTTTGTGGCCAAACTTTGATACCATGATGGAGAGCCTCTTGTTGCTGTGACACAGAGGGACTGATGAGCTAATGAAAGTGTTGTGCTGCCATCTAGCTTTACCGTTGGCCACATGTAACAGATGCAGGCCAAGGTGTCTCAAAATCAAAGCACTTACTTTGGTTGTTTGAAATGTTACATCTTTAAAGCTTTAACGTTGACATTTATTTACTTCCATATTTGTTATGAATTCTGACCTACTTACAATTCAGCTGAAATTACTTGAATTACTAAACCTGATTTATGTCTTGTGGAAAATGCCAGGAACTGTAATCACTTTTAGCTGAATGTTGTCTTTTTTCAGAATTAAATGAACAAATGAAACCTGAACAAATATTTGTTGTTGTTGACCCATATCCAATTTGTGTGTGTGTGTGTGTGTGTGTGTGTGTGTGTGTGTGTGTGTGTGTATGTGTTTGTGTAATACCATTCAAATCTGAGTAACGTTAAAGTTGGACTTGATTTTAATCCAACACACTTTTTGTCATATTCAGTAAATTTGGTCAGGATCAACTAGCTGTACGTTTTGTGTGTGTGCTGACAAAAAAAGAAGTGGTGTTCATATACAGCTTTGAATCTGTAAAGAGGAAACAAAGTCGTTCAGACTGATCCACACAACACTAATACAGTGAAACCTATGCACAGGACAAGGGGAAAGGGAGGGGGAGAATTACAGAGCCAATGTTCAAATCCAAAATATGTGAACCAGTGGTGCACATTCCGGTCTAAAAATAACAACTCATCGCTGCACTAGTGAACCATGATGAAGCACATGTGCTAAAATTAAATGTTGTCTTGGGTCAACATGCTCCTAGAACTGTGCAATCCCGACCTTTCAGCAAAATGAAATATGCTTTGGCAAGACCAGTCCAAGATAATGAAGAGAACAGAGGAGTGTGATCCTCTGCACATCAGAAGCCCCAATAGAGCAAAAGACAGAGATCATCACTTTGGAATTTGACCTCTACGTACAGGATTCGAAGTGGTAACTCTGTCACTCTGTCCTGAAATGTTAACAAATTTTCCATAAATCTGGTCATTTTTATTAAAACATTAAAATCTTTGGAATAAGTACATTAAATTATTGGTAGAACTCTCAATGGCTTTGCTGCATATAAGTTTGCTAAGACATTTTAAAGAAAAAGCCCACCCTTCACTGTTGAAGTTGTTTTGCACTTATTTTCTTTTCTTTTTTTTTTTTTTTACTTATTGCCATTTTTAATGCTGTGCAGCACACTACACACTGCCATATGTAGTTTCTTCTTATCAATGCCAAATCCAGTACAATGTACCCCTTTCAAAACCAGCTGAACCTCAAAAACATTTCTACATACATATAGAACTAAGCAAGTATTCCTGTTGAAATCAGATTGCATTCATTTAGATTTCTCCCAGGTGACAGATATTGTAGCCACAAAGAAACTCATGATATCTCCCACTGACAACATAAATAAGCCTGACTGATTCATCAGTATAGTGCAGATATATCAGTAGTGATAAATGTATGTCACCTGACAAGGAGTTGTCGTGCAGAAACAGAGTGACCACTACATAGTTTAGCCACCAGACAGTGCTGACAGGTCAATTGTTCAACTGCAAAATGTACAGCTAAGTTTCTATCTATCACAATTCTTCAAAAGAACCTAAAGCATCCATTATCCATTATCTATACACCACTTAATCCTCACTAGGGTCGCGGGGGGCTGGAGCCTATCCCAGCTGACTTAGGGTGAAGGCAGGGGACACCCTGGACAGGTCGCCAGTCTATCGCAGGGCCACCCTAAAACATCCATGTCAATAATAATTTTTTAAGGCTACATATTTCTGTTTAAAAAAATACTGTCAGCCAATATATCATTAACATCTATTTTGTAAAACTAACTACAGCTAAAAGGTATCAGACAGTTTACTTCCGTCAGGTCTGTATGACATGTACTGATCTCAAAGAGGAGTCTCTGCTGTGATTTATGTGGTGTTCCTCAATTTTGAACAGTGAACAATGACGGACACTCAAGCGGTAAATTATTTCACATATAGTATAATATAGTTTGCTGTACAATTAATTTATTAAACAGCCAATGAAAAGCAATAGGCAGCAATGTGGCTACACACTGTAGCAGGCTACAGACTACTTCCTGCAAATGGAATAACTTTATTTCTTCAGCATACCAATGTCTCTTAAAGTACCATATAAAATACTATTCTATTAAATACCCGTAAATATTGTAATCAGGGAAAAAGTTAGGTAGTATATAGAATTTAAATTCTGATTCACACACAATAGAAAATATTCCTTCAGTGTCCAGATGGTGGTGCTGTAGCCTTACTCCACCACTGTTGAGCCAGCTCAGCTCAAGCCTGCATGGTAAATGTAGTTCAAAGACATATTTGTTCCGGTAAGGATGATAAGAATACATACATTGGCAGTAGCCTTTTTACTACCATTCTCTTTTTTAGTAATAATTCCTGTTTTCTGGAAACTTTGGCAAAGTTACTAAGCGCTGTTTGATTATCTCTGTTTTGGTCTAAAATTTTATACAAATTTCAAACATTTGTTAGAAACGAAGTAAACAAAGGTAATAAATGATAAATGGAAAAGAACACGAAAAAGCGAACCCATGCAAATCTGACACCTTTTACTAATACTGCTCTGAACTGTGCTCATCACACCCTACAAGTGATGTATCCAAGGGAAAGTGACCCAGTGAGGGTAAATCAGATCTTGGCCTGTCTCACAGGAAAACCTTTAATTAACCTAACTTTCCTTCCTGTGATTGTGAAAACGTCCCTCACAAACAGGTCTTGAAACATAGTCAACTTAAAGAAACAAGTCACAAGCCCTCAGTTAAACACAGAAGCTTGTAAATGCTATCCCACAAAGGTCTTCATGCTTTTTTTTTTTGTGTAAACATATGCCCTAGAAGGATATGGCGAGATGTTGCCAGCCTGATGAACAGTGCACTCATCTTGTATAAACGAAGAGGGGCGTGGTCTATAAATAGTTTGCATGCTCTTGATAAAAGCACAGACAAGCACTGGTTTAAACACAGACTTCCTGCAGCGCGTTCTTTACCACGCAAAGCAACATTGATGCAGATCACTTCCTGAAACTGGAGTATTTTACACTGTGCACCTTTCCACTTCAGACTGGCAGTGAAAGAGTAAACCAGCTGTGCGTCTGCAAGAGGCTGAACTGACAAGACTTCTGTCCGATGACACCTAATAAGGGTCTCTACCGTCCCAGGAAGTTTTAACATTGTGCACAAGCCTGCAAACAGTAAGTACACTGCTGTCGTAATGATTCTTTATACTTTTTTAACTTGAAGCTTCAACTTTAAACTATCCTATCTATGATCACTTCACACTATTGTCATCACTCTTGCATTCTTTAGCACTTGCTCTACTTAGCGTGTAGTATCTGCTGAAATGCCATTGCGTTAATTCATTTGCCTTAGTGAATGGAGACCACATATTTTGAAGTAAAAAGGCACCTATTGTTTAGTGTTTTGTTTTTTTTTTAGCTCTGTTTGTTTTCCAGACCAGCAAGCACCTAAAGATGTTAGAATAGAAGAATTACAATATTATTTTAATATAATCAGGAATTAAAAACAACAAAAAGTTGAGGATTTTCAGCTCTCAGCCACAGCTCTCTCAGCTTTCACAGTGTGGGTGTGTCCGTGCTCTTGTTTCCTTACTTTTCAAAGCACAGCCAGGTAGAACTCACAGGCAGACATGCATCTCAGGTAACTTGTACATGCAATGTGCAAAATATGCAAGATTTGCAACAAGTTTAAGATGCAGACTATTTGTTGTGAAGATAAATCGTGTGAAAAGTACAAAGTAGGACTAGACTACTCATTTCATTTGTACTTGACCAAAAACTAAAGGCTGAAATACAATGACCTATTCAAGCAGAAATTGAAGGCAAAAACATCCCCCTTTTCACTATCAGATTACAGTTTCTACGTGTGCCTGCTTGAAGAAAAAAAAAAAACTTCCGCTAAAACCGTCTGCTTGTACAGGGGTTAAATATTTGCATTTTCAAACAATCACGGAGCCTGTGTGTTTCTTTCAAGTAAAGTAAAACAGGAATGCTTAACTCTATAAGATCTCTGAGACTTTGCACATCATACGTGTATAGAACTGCCCAGCCATGACATTCTTTGCATGTCTCAACAGTTTGAGTCAATACAAAAAATGACTAACACACAGCCAAGACAGGACTTTCAAGTTCTGAGAATGTCTTGAGGAACAACCTGTAGTGCAAGAGCATGAAAATGCCTTTAAAGCTTTCGTACTATAAATCAAGCTATTTCTGTCCATGCTGTTTACAATAACACACATCAAAACAGTGAAGGAGGATGATTGATCATTTAATTTTGTTAGTTTAAGACCATTCTGCAAAGCAAACAGTCAGCAGTGAAGTCAGTGATTAGGTGGGATTAATAATAACTGCCAAAGTCCCCTTATTTAGATAACATGTTGTTCAGACAGTCCATCAACTAGTCGAGTATTCCTGTTGTCTTAAAGGGCTATCTATTATGTCACACATTCACATGTTGTTGTTTTTTTTATTTAAAAAGGAGCAAGACTTAAGGTTAAGAGAAGGACTTTCATATATGTAGTCTTTTCAAAATAAAAACTTATAGCTAGCTAAAAAAAAAAAGTTATGAGGATGCAATGAGGTATGCCTTCAAAATAAAAGTTCAGAAATGTTACAAAACACCAGGGACATACACTAAAATTTGCTGGCTTTTCAAAGTAAACACACCACTTGTCAAAGTAACCACATCACTTAACGCAACTGAAAGCAATTTCCCCTAGGGGATCAATAAAGTATTTCTGATTCTGATTCTGATATAGCATGACAACTGCCTCCATCATTTGCATTGATGTCAGTACACTGAAAGTGCAGAGCCTTAAGACAACCAAAAGAGCAGCATGACTCAATGTTGCCATGTTGTGTTGTGTGTACATTTGGCTTCTTGCAGAAAAAAACAGGAAATTCCAAAACCAACACAAGATTTGATGTGAAACTTTCACAGCCGGCTGCCAGCCTTGGTTTCTTTCATCTTCACCTTCTACTTTTTTGCTTTTACAAACGTTGGTCAGCTCAATGTCGTATGCTTACAATGTTTTCAAAAAGTTCTCACAAAGTTTGGAAACAGGAGGACCTTACAGGAGGACGAGTAGTGCAGCACTTTGCTAATCAGGCCTTTCTTGTAAAGCAGCCAGACAGAAGCCATTTGTCATTATAATGTACATGACAGCCTGCTGGGAATTTGCCAAACAGCACCTGAGCGACTTTCAGATCATCATCAGCAAAATCC